ATTTAAATTCTTTAAAGTTTATTTCAGTAACACTTTGTTCAATACATCAATAATTCCTTTTGCATTATATTGCATTATTTTTAGACGTTATTAAAATAAACTGTAATCTTTATCTAAACGTCTTTATCTAATCTTTATGTAAACGTTATCTTTATTCTACAGTATATACAGTAATCATACTTTTTAACACAATTACATTTATTTAAACACAGAAACGAGAAGGCCAGTGAAATGGAAAAGCTAAATTAATGTCAAGTTAAAAATGCAAAATGTAATCTGCAACAAATTTTGAATAAAACAAAAGTAGCAACTCTGGTCCGAGCTCTTTGGCCCGGGCCCAACCAGGGAGCCACATTTCAGATAATTACTCGGTATTTTCTCATTTAGAATGCACTCATATGAATAAAGCAGTCCTAATTATCATAAAAGCATATGAAAGCTGGACATTGATCTGGTTAAATACGTTAGTATAATAGTTTGCTGTTTATTGTTAGTAGCTACTTGCCAACCCGTGCTTCGAAAATGTAAACATTGCAGTTTTTGTTGACTATCAGAAGGCTTACCTTATTTATAAATCGGCAAATTGAAACATAATGTATACGTTTATTATTACGTTATAGTTTAGTTTGTAAGATTGAATAGAAACATTTATCGAAACTATTAAATTTAAGTCACAGTTCCGTTCTACTTCCAGATAAGACATACAAAAGGTTTAGTTGAAGCACAATACATCATTTGCGCTTTCTTAGGATCATGAGGACAAATAAAAGTAACCAATTCATCAAAAGATGTCAGTTTAATTCATGGGATATTTTAGTAAATTCAAGGAAAAACATGATGATTAAGCTATTTAGTAAGATACAAATTACCTTTAGTCTTTTTGCAGCAATATTAAATTGGGTGATTTGCAACATCATACAGGGTGTTTCCAAATTGTCTGGACATATTTTCTGGACTTGTTCCTTGGGCTAAGAGAAACATAAAATGCCATATAAGTATGGGTTTAAAATGCTAGACTTATGTCTGTCGGTATGTTAGTGATTATTTTATATCTTGGGCATTTTTCGAGGTATAAATTCCAAAAATAGTATAAATGTGTATTTTAGTAGGTAAAAAGAGATTACAAAGTTTCGGTACAATATCTCAAGCCATTTTAATATGGCGGCCGTTTAACATGTTATTGCCATATTTCATGTAAACCATAAATTTTAAGAAAATATTTTTCAGGGTAAAAAGATATAATTCCAAATATAATGGGACTGTGTTTCTTAAAATCGAATGACAAACAACCGAGTTATCATTTTTTTCTATATTTGGATACGCAATTTAATAGGGCTTTCATATTGTTTATTATTTGTTATTTTTACAGAACAGTAATGGCAATCCTATTAAATTGCGTAACTGAATTTAGAAAAAAACTGATAACTTGGTTGTTTGTCATCCGATTTTTACAAACAAGGACTTATTTGATTTAGATTTAAATTATCAATATTTTGAATTGGAAGAAAAATTGTCTTAATATTTACGGGTTTCAAGAAATTTGGCACTAAATATTTTAAATGACCGCCATATTGAAACGTCTTGAGATATTTGAACGAAACTTTGTAAGCTTGAAACCAAGTTTTTAACATTCTATTTTGAAAAATGCCCAAGATATAAATAAAATAATTGTTGAAAATCACAAACAGACCATGAGAAATCTAGGCTGTTTAGACCCATACTACTTATAAGGCATTTTATCTTTGTCTTAGCCCAAGGAGCAAGTCCACAAAATATGTCCAGACAATTTGTATATTATCTGGCAAATATGGAAGTTTGAACACATTTTGAAATTATTATACATAATTCGAAAACATATTTAGCCCTTAAAAACATTAAGATGATGTGTTTATGGGGGTTGAAGTTATATGTGTGTTTTGGTTGCATGTATTTTATTAAGAGTATTTTAGGAAGATACATAAATAAGGGAAGTTAATTGACGGTTATCGCGGACGGGTGGGAGACCCGATGACATAATTATTGACTGCCTCTCGCAAATAACGTGTCAGAATGATAAAAGGGGCTTCTTTATATATGGCTAATTATAGAATGCGTCCACCACAAAAATAAACATGATAATTTCTGACAAATCCTTGGAATACTGATGAAATAAGAACTGTTTGACCTTCGTATAGACTAATTTTTGTTGATGTTGTATACAAATGATACAGGATTTTTCATTGTCTTATTGATTTTTTAATTAACGATTGTACTTGCATTGTCGTAACATAATAAATTGTGTCCCCATGTTAAAATCTGTTGAAAAGATTTTCCCATGCATTTGTTGCGTTTTTGTACATAATAAAGGATCTAATAATTGTACGAATGGAATGCTAACTGTCCTATTATGTTCCATTTTATATTTTTACATATATTTGGGGTCTTACAAGATGTTTAAAAGCATTTTTAACCTTGCTTGTAATTGAAGAAGTCTTTTATTATAACTAAGTACAAAACTACAACAGTTATAATTATTGAGATTACATATCAGTATTATAACAAATTGCAGCTTTATTAGTTCATTCAGAAGAGGCAAGGACAATTTCAAATTGTGCGATATAGATGTAATGAAGCAAGCATCCCACAATCAAGCTTTGGAATTGGAACAGATTAATGGTTATGATGTTGAACAATAGCTTCGCGGCGTGCGAGAATCCTACCAACAAGATGTAGATAATGTTAATCAATCTTTGTTGTACAACATCATGTAAAAGTCGGATCTTACAAATCATTCCTTAGCTTTGTTGGGTTACAATCTAATAAGTTGTAACGCATATTTCCGACAAATTGAACAATTCAGAATTTTTCTAATGCAGGGTTGAATAGTTGTGACCAATGATACAAGTAAACTAGATTTAGATTGAAATTGTAATATTCAAACTGAGTTCACTAATACATTGTTTGACTGTTTCGGTGATAGCTACATGGCAGTAAACTAAGCTATCGGGGAACTTAATTAATTCGCAAAGCGTTGTTAATACTGAATATCACACGGACTGGATTTTGCGTTACCGAAACCAATATAAAATTGCACGGTACTGAATCGACAGAATTTACTACATAGACCGTTAGGTAGCAAGCCGTACGCATAATTTATGTTCGTGTTTTGTATCATTATGTTCAGTTTTATATTTAATATATTCATTCATTAAATATATTCATTCAACGGGTAACTTCGTTTTCAATCAGATGTGTAGTAGTTCAAATCAATTAGCATGCTAATATAGTAAATGCAACTGAGATTAAGCAACATCAATGACAAATAAATAACCACATCGATAATGAATCAAAATGGAATAAAGATAATAAGTTGGCAATTAACAAGGATTTCAAAGGAGGTAAATAACTTAATTTATAGTACTAAAAAAAATGCAACCTTTGACATACAAGAAAAGTAATTTAATTAAAAATAAAAATTTTCCCAACGGTATGAAAATAATAAGTTTAGTCCAATGTATCATAACAATATCAAGAATAGAAAAACAAGAGGTGATTGGTTTGTGATACAATTAATAACATGCATGGAAATGTAGAAATACAATTAAAGCGAAAAATTCATAATAAACTAATAAATAAGGTAAAATATTAGTTGGCAGAAAATATATCGAACCGCCAATAAAATAATGCCTTGTAGCCCCGATGAGCCTGGTATAAATGCATTAAAGAGCTATCACCAGGACCACTGTAATTCGAAAAGACTTAGCAGAAACAACGGAATGTTGTTTTGCTCTGAAACCTCACATCCATATCTGAGGGGTCTTAAAGACCACTGTTGTAGGCATGCAAAGTAGGAAGATGACACTTCTTATAGGAAGATCACATAGGGAGTTCCTAGGGATGACATCCGCTAAACTAGGAGAGCAGGACTGTCCAGATAAAAAACTTGTAGAGCGCAATAAGATAAGCATTTCTGCGTATATGCAGTGGAAGAATGTCAAACTGCTCCTCAATATAAGTGACAATAGGAATTTAATAAGAAACCCAAGTCCCAACTTTCTCTCAATGTGCTTTTGGATATCCTCAAGTGCAGTAATGTATTTTTGTTGATGTGGCTACAACAATGACAGGCCTGTATTCATGAGCTGGACGAACCAAAGACTTGAATACGTGTGATCGGTAATGAATTCTATTGAAGTGTAATGGTCTGGCAATTAGATACTGTTTCATTTTTGAAGTAATGTATTCAGTCTTGGACGAGCTGTCGAATTCAGTCTTGGTGTGTATAATGTTGTCGGTGCAGTGCAACATGAAGTCATACACTGATAGTACACAAACACGAAGATGTAGCCAACTTAAAACGTCATCATTAGTTTTAGCCATCTTGAATCGTTCAAAAAGACTCTAATGTTAAATTTGTGACAGTTTTACATCTCTTTCAATTGTCGTAAAAATATAATTTATATGTTTATGTCAAATAGAATCTACGGAAGTCAATATTGGATTGTCAATATTGTTCATTGTCAGGCCAAGTTTTGAAGTAAACAAAATAGTATATATATATATGTATTTTTAACATTTTACGTCGGCATGCTAATGCATTTTATGTGCCTGCAATCATTCCCAAGACTATACCTTCTATTTAGCAACTTTTTATAGGTTTTTGCAAAGATAGTCACGATAATCTTGAGGTGTATTAATATACAGTATATTCCCATTAAGTTGAGTTAATTATCATAGCACAATTAAATCATAGATTTTCCGGCAAAATATGCCTATACGACCGCCACATTTGCTTAAAAGAACAGTTCATTAAGAATTTTACTCTAGATGTAATAAAAAGGGCTAACGATGGCGATGGTACAACAAAAACTGAAAACCATCAAAGAGTGGCTATGCAGCAAATCATAGTTAGACTATTCTGTTATCACAAACTACTAGATTATAGACCGCTAGTTTTATTTTTATCAAGGGCACTGATAACAACTAAAGGCGACAATGTCAGAAGTCACTCTCAGTTCGGCGACTGACTTGACAGTGTTAACTGCTGACGCAGGTAACTATTTGTGAACAATAGTTTTAATAACTCGATTTAAAAAAATCCCATGGATTTTACTACTCTCTTTTTTGTATCCAAAAGTTCATGTTCTGAATTTTACACCATAGAGTTTTTCTTAGATAGCCTTAAGATAGATTTGTCCAGGTTAACGTGAATACTTTTAAATCAAGCCGAGGTTTTATAAAAAAATTTTATTAATATCTTTGTTTTTAATTTGACTAACAATATTTCAAATTAGAATAAAAGTTTTATGGTTTTTATTTTTAAATGATGTTGAATAACGTTTTTGGTTGTGAACTCTATAGAAATATTGTTTTATCTTGTAATTTTCTCGATTAAAACTAGTTAGTTTACCCAAACTCCTTAAGATTATTTTAGCCTGACATAATCTAGACATTTAAATAATTTGGAGGGAGCTACCGAAATTGGAACATTTTTAATGAAGGCCTGCAAGCCCTTTTAAGATTAAATAGATACAACCTTACTTATTTATAGACAATAGTTTGTTGTATATTTTGAGGCAGTAAACAAAGTTAATTTGTCATAGCAGGTGTAGGTTTAGTACTTATTATGGCGTGTACAGATTGATTTCCCAATATGGTCTGTTAAAAACTTGAGACGGAGTCTGTTTTTTAAATTAACTCAGTATTAATTTTATTGGATACAGAGGAGTGTGTCAGATGGTAGTGAACGTGTTAAAACTGTTCAAGTAATGAACTAAAATGAGCCGATGATAAGAGATAAAATAATAATAATTATTTGAAATACAAGTTTCACGAACTTTAATATGAAAGTTATTGTTTAAACAACATAACATCTGTAAATTCCACTTTGAATTTCACACAAAGCTTTGAACAAGTAATAAACAATTTTGCCTTAGGATGCTTACTTTACTTTTTAAAGAAAGAATCAAAGAAAAGATTCATCAAATGGAAGTTTAAATTATTCTTCATGTATAAATAAACCAAGACAGTGAGTGCAATATCAAATGATATCTCTTTGTATTTCCGGTTGATTAGATTTGTTTGAAAAACTTACTGAAATTTCCTTTGAGGCAAGTTCTCTGGGTTTATAAAACAAAATATAACTATCAATTACCCATCTCTGTAGACCAAATATTAAAAAAATCACTTTGAAATAAAATCCCCAAACATTCTGTGACAGGAGTTCTATTAATGCTTTGCATTTATTTGAAGTAGATGAATAGTTTAAAATAATTTTTTTTTAAACAACTTCAATAGAAGGAGTTGTTTGCTATTGATTACCGGTGCTGATTTACTATAATCAATCTTTGGGATAGGTGGAACCTAACACAATCGAATGGAAGTATTTTTGTTGTTATTTAATCAATATTTGTGAAGATTCAATGGAGGTGTTACATTTGTTTGCAGACAAGCCCAAAATTTCCTGAACATCTTTTATTAGCCCTGTGAATAGTGTAAACGAAGTTAATGTAATTTTCACTTATAAATTTATTACGATTTTACTTATCCAAGAAATTAAATAAATTAAACCTTAGATATTGAAAACGAATTAACCAAATAAACGTAGGGTTAGGTCAATTTACAACCAAACTACAAAGGTTTTATTACCTGAAAATTAAAGCTTCAGATACCAAGAATGAGTAAATGTAGCTTAAAATAACATAACGCAACCCCTCAGTTTAGTATGTTACCCAAGAACTGTGTTATCTTTCGTCCAGAACCTTTATCGCGATTGCAATTACGCAAATTTTTAAACAAACAAACAAACTTTCACATTTATAAAATAGTAAGATAAATAGTATTAGAAAAAAATATTGTTTCACCACACTATGATGTTTTTGGCTGTATTACATACGTTAATTGGTGAAAATTACGTTTTGCTGGCCATGCCAGCTGTCATCGTCATTTGGGGACCGAGCAGGTTTTTACAGGCCGGGGCCGCAAAATCAGCTGTCCGCTTACTTTCTTAAAACATGAATGCATCTTAAATACACAAACAAAATCCAGCATTGCAATAGAATTGTGTTATTGTCACCGTTGCCTAGCAACTATTTATTTTTATTTTTGCTGATTCCTCAAATTATTTCTTCACATAACCTTAAATTTGTAGTTGTGTTGACTATCAGTGTGCATTATTATAGTGGTGAATAGTGGTAATAGGGTAGGCTATAGTGTGGTGAAAAATAGCGTTCGTACCACGGACCGAAATGGTTTTGCAGCTCTCAATCGATTTAAGTTATCGACTTCGTCTCGAACTTAAAAACTATCTCGAGACCTCATTTTAAAAAAACCTCATTTTCGGCCCTAGGTACGAAATATACTATAATACTATTTTAAAATCAGGATCTAAATACCTAGTTTTTTGACTATCTGTATGTGATTTTTAAAACGAACGATTCTACTAAAAACCATTAAAGGATTCGGATTGGGAGAATGTTTGACTAATCCAACCATACATTTATTGTAAAAATCTGTTAATACACAACTAGGATATTAAATATTTTGTGAGACCGTGCGTGACCCAGACCACCTTACGGATGTGACGTGGCACGGTGGAACAACGAAAAAATTAAAATCATTATAAAATTCTCATAATTTAATCCATCGTTGATTTATAAAAAGTTTCAAAAGGGTATTATGACCTGTTAAATATTATTTTGATTATCAAATGTATATTATTAGCTATTTTTAACATGTTTGGACAAGAATCAGAAGCGTTGCTCACACAAACAAAGTCAACAACATTACTATTTTAACAGAACACGGATAAAACACAATAGATAATTTACACTGACCAAAGACTGCTCTCAGATTATCCTAATGAATTTCCCTCGTCAAAGCTTGGTCCCCATAAGTTCGGTACTGTCATAAGCTGAGCATTTAATAAGTTAAACGTGTAGCCTACATGCATATGTTTGAAATATGTTTGTTAAGGAGTTAAATGTAATGACTAGGTCATGTATATTTTTTAAGTTTTCATATAAAGTAACTATCAAAACGCCACACACATTATTTTCAGATATATTTACTATGAACAAAATATTAAAATCACGCAACGTATTGTTCAGAAACATTTGGTTTGTAAACAGAAAAAACTATAAAAATTAAAATACCCCCGCCGCAGCAAACCTGCAGACTAAGCGAATTTCCATTTGACTGATTGGATTTACACTGGTATGTCTACTTAAAAATATAACATTTATTCCCGATTTATATAGAATTAGTTTAACAAGTACTTAGGTTTGCTGCATCAGGGAGGGTAAAACTGTTTTTTTTTTAAAATGATAATAGTTAGTAAGAAATAAAAACATTTTCCAAATTTGATCAAAATATGTTTATAAACAAGCAAACTACAACAGTTTACTTATTGTCCATAAGAATAACATGGAAATTTTAAATTTACAATTTTTTGGAATTTTCTCCGTAACCATTAGGCGCATAATAACGCTTCAGTGTACTAAATTATTTGTTTTTTTAAGCTCTACAAAATGGTTTGGAAAGAAATTGCTAAATATTATGTTTTTTGGGTCAAAAATGGGAAAAACCTATTTTTACCCCATAAAACCCCCCGTAAACCCCTGTTCCCATGGTCCGATCATGCTGGATCGCGAACTCGTTCGAATAAACGTAGGTTTACACGTTTGTACCAAATTTCATCAAAATCGGATCATTTTTGCTCGAGTTATTGTGCTAACGGACACACACACACACATATATAAAAATATATAAATATATATATATATATATGAATTTGAACGGATGGTGTTTTTGGCCTCTAGGGATCTCAAAACGAAAAAAAAATCGGTCCCGCGTCCAGGTCTTACCATGAGTACTACGGTAATAGCTTATTCCCTATATGGGAAATTCGCTAAAAATTACATAATTTATTAAAATAGATTTGAATGTAATTTCAATGTTAATAACCATTCAATAATTAAGATTTTTCTGTGAATTTTATCGTTTCTAAAGTATAATGATGGAATGTTTGAGTTTTCACCCTGGACTTACAACCAATAATTTTAATAGATAAACCGACAGTTACTAGTGCTAAAGGCATTTAAGATCTAATCCAGGGTTAGTATTGGTCATTATGACTCTTGTGCAGTGTACAGCAATTGACCATCCATTTCCGTGCTTGGATCACACGATGAAGGTCATTTCATTCATCAGCCAACTATAATTACTGCAACACTTGTTCACATGTAGTTATGCACAAGCAACATCGATGATATCAGCGTGAAACTATAATGTGAACAATCATTGCAACAATTCTGAAACTTTAAGTGACACAAATTACTTTGAATATGGTGATGAAATTGTTTACATTTTGAGCTTAATAAGTTGTTCGGGTTTGTCATGTTTGTAAGCTGTGCTTTCGGCTAAGTTTTATTCTTGAATAGAAAAAGATTCGGATTAATTTTTAAACTTACATTTAGTAGTTTTTTTGTCGTTCCATTTTGTTTAATTTAAATTTAATAAGAGGGGTACCGGTAGTACTCAAATAATTACAACATATTTTTTTTAGTAGGAGAAAAAATGGAAATATCTATAACATTTTAGAAATTTAAGGCTAATGAATGGGTGCTACTATATTTATTCAAGATTCATATAACTAGGAGTTGTAATGGTAGGCCTACTGAAGGTTAACTTAGAAATATCCGGCAAAAAGGCATCATTATTGAAGTATTTTCTCATAGATGAACTCAAATTTCCATCAAAGACTAAATCAATTAATTTTGTCTGATTTCTAAACATGTAAAAAATAATGCTAGTAGACTTCTCATTATGTTTTTTAAAATGTTTTGACGTGTGTTTCATACTGGTTGAATATACGTGAATGTTTTGGTGTGCACTCATAGTGATTAATGTTTTATCTTACTTGAGTGTAGATTTACAATATTTGCAACAGATTTCACAGTATCTTTGGTTTTGATACCAAAGAACAAGTAGTAGTTAACAATTAAGTTATATCGATGACATAGTTTTAACAATGATTAAATAATGTATCAAGTAGTGAACAATAAAACGCAAAACAAACAAAAATCATTAAAGAAATTCTGTCCAGCTGATAATAAATCTATGGGGAAGTATGTTTAACATGCTAGTACATTGTCAAGCAAGACTAATAACCGTATTGTTGTTACGGCCTGCGATATTCGGCAGACCCATTTGTTGATCAAACAACATAAATTTCACGTTCGCTATTTTTAAATCAAAACTGGAACAGTTAAACCGCAAGTAAATAAACAGTCAATAGAGAGAAGAACCATTCGCGCGTTGCTAACAAATTAATTGTTTGCGCGTTCGTGAAATACTGCGTGTGCTCGGGAGGGTTCGTGCGCGCTCGGACAGGTTCGTGTGCGTTCGGACAAACTCGCAAGTGTTCGTAAACGCTCGGCCATATTGTTGGTGCCTTCAGTGATCAGTCGCGTCGGATTCGGTCCGAGTGATTGTGGCCGAGACAGGTTGTATTTCAGCTCGCAAAATGTCGCAATTTATATAAACTGTCAGGTTCAAACGTGACAATAGTGTTGAGAATACTTCCAGTTGCAGTATTTACTAGTGAGGGAAATTCTCTGCTTCGATTTTATGAGAAAATAAAAGTAAGACAAGTTTATTATTGAATGTTTGGGTTAATTTAATTTCAATGTACAGTACTAACAAAGAATTAAATAACACTTAGAACAGCTGTTTGTGCGGGGATTATAGGGAAACAATTCGTAAGAAAACTGTTTTAAAATTTACTGAGTAGTGAGTAGTTTATGTTGTACAAATACTAATTTATTCTGTTAACTATCAAGTTTTAATGCTACTGAAATCTATTAAAATTTAACTATTTATTAAATAACCAATACACCCAGTAATCTTTTTATGTATTTATGAAACACCGAAAATGCTACCATACAAAATTTATGGACAATGGTTAATAATCTATAACAGTAGCGAATAGACTATAAAAACAAAGAAAAAAATATAGATTAAACTGCACTAGAATGTAATGTGGTTTTCCTTTAAAAAATCTGATTTGAATTAAAGTAATATTTCAGTAGTTAATTGTAGATGTTTGACAACTAACCGAAAACAGTGGTTTTGATTTGGCTTTCGATTTTGGTTTTTGATTCGCATATATATGATACAACATTTCAAAGTTTTTTCATACATATACATAACATACTTGAGTGCATACATTTTGCATTACGTAATTTTGGGCGTATAAACAACGATTGTAATACGAAATATTTTTATAATTAATCTTCATACAAATTACGAGAGAGTGTATAATGATGGTAATAAGTTAAACATGGAAGCTAAAGTTTTATAATAATATCTACTTTAAAATACTTTCAGTTTAAAGGATTTTTAAGAAGAGTATTTTGGTTTACTTAAGCTGCTTAACAATTATAGAATTAAACTCGAGTTTCAGCTGTTAATAAATACGCACAAATATTAAAATAAGCAAACAAATAAAAAAATACAAATTTACATTATGAAAATACTATGGAAGGATTAATTTTGATCTGGATTATCAACTTATTATTTTAAATGAGTAAAAAAGTCTTTTAGAAGGCATGAGTAATCATAATGTTTTATGGAATAGTTTTTAAGTTTTAATATTTTTAACAGCGAAATAGAACATCAGAGATTTTTCATTAATTATTCAGCACTATTCAATGCATCTAAAATTATGTCATTTGAACATCACTAAGAGTGATATATTAAGTTTTAACAATCATATTGGCCATCATCTTAATAGCTTATTTATCCTGAATATCAATCCTGTTACTGATTGATATCGGTTGCCAATGCACTGATAATATGCATATATCTATTTACAGTTTTCAGTAAAAATGAGAATAGTGTTGGAAGTAGGAAGACATATTTTACTATATCTATATAGTAGCTTGAAAACGTTCAAGAAGTTATTTCTATTGTTTGAACGTCAATTTTTTTTAAGTAAAAATATTTCTTATCATCAGATAATAAGAATTGTATAGTTTTTTACCGATGTTTTTATGTGATACCATTGACTATTCAGACTGAGGTCAAAGATACCATATGGGTTATGAAACTGCACAAGCGAAGAATCCCGATTTCGTTATAGTGATGTGGCAAAAGTTGTCAATCTTGTATTCAAGTAAAGTTTTCTTTTACAGTGAATATGAAATTATATTAAGCTAATTAGAATGTAAACATAATAGATTTTATGACAATAAGCACTTATGTATGGACTTATTTTCAACAATCTACTTATTTTGAACCTTAACGTATTTAGATAATAGTTGTATGGAAATAGGTGCAAACTTAAGTATACGCAAACTTTATTTTGCTAATATGTTACGTACGTAGACCAAGTACTGTATATTTTTTTATTAACATGTGGGGGACTGAACTGGTCTATGTGTTAGAGCGCGGGACTTCGGTCCCTGAGATCCCGGGTTCAAACCCCACCAATGGATTTTATCTAAGTGATTTTGCCGCAACCCCTAGGCCTACCATGAAGTTATGCGAAAAACAATCCCGGGATAGAAGGCTACCTAGCCTCCTAGGACAAACAATATTAACATGTAGTGACATTAATTATATACTAAATTTTTTCTTTTGCTCATAAAAACCACTGAACAAAATTTACCATCGAGGTTTCAAGTATCTAACGGTGTTGATAATATAGGATAATGAATATTTCATTATAATCTTGAACATTTGTTTTAAGACCAACTTGAAATTTAAGTGTTGATAAAAAGTACTAATGATAGAAATTAATAATTTTAAAACAAAAACTATGGTATTTATTTTTTTACACATTTGCATAATTAATCAGCCATGTTATACACACTTAAAAACTTCTGTTAAAACTTAAACAATATTTACTTAAAAATTTTAAATTGCTCTCTATTTTTTGTACCAAACGAGATCAAAATCTCTCTTTACAGCTACATAGCTGGTTAAATGAAACCAAAAGTAAGGGCCAAATAAGCCTAAAGCTCTTTGTTTTAAAGTGCGCCGAGATAAACTTCAAAATTGGATCTGTTCGGAGATTGGCAAAGCGCCTTTGTTTGCGCCGTTTATTTTGGGCAAAATGAGCTCCAGCCTGAACCACTGCAATTTTATGATTTTATGAAAACAACATAAAACTGAAGGCCAAGTTTATGCGCAAGTTATCTAAGAGTTGCATAAACATTTGAGTTTACCGTTCAATGGAAATATCTTGCACTCAAACTCCTCTAGTAAAAATAACCTTCATAAGTAATGAGTTGTGTAATGTACATTCAGGGTGAGTGTTGGCCAATTTAAAACCTCTTTTTGAAAAACCATAAACTTGTTTATACCGGGTTTGTCTTTTTTATGAAAAATGACAATATGTGTTTTTTCAAATAAATATACAAATTGCCAATGTACCTTTATAGGGTTTCCTATTTGATATTCAAATTCCAAATTTAATGATTTATGTGGAAAGAAACTTGCCCAAGAAAACAAAATTGTTTAGCTACATTTTACAATTTTATCGAAATTACTATGAATATGATAACTATTTAGGTCAGATATTATTCAAACTAATTGAAAAGGGCGTTTGAGCTTAACTGTATAGTTAAAGGCGATTTCTAGTTCTTTTCTTATTCTTCAAAACATTACTTTGATTGCAGCATACTCTAGACGTCAAATGAACTAATTTGTGCTTTCCTTAACGTAATATTTAGCGTGCAAAAAGCTGCTGTTATAGTTGCATGGTTTTTTTAGTCGCTGGATGTGGGAAGGGTTAGTTAGTTTTTATCACACACATAATTATAACCACGAGTAGGATTAGTTAAAGTTTGAAGAAATCGTATAAATATTAAGTTTTATTCCCCTAGCAGTAAAAAAAAAAAAAAACAAAAAAAACACACTTATATTAAACTAGATAGATGAAACATATTTTTATTACCACCGATTGAATTAAAACCGATTTCATTTAAAAGATAAAATATTTATAAGCACAATTTTTTATATGTATAGGAATTTCTAATAAAATTATCCTAAGTTTACTTGCATTGATTTTTCTGTAATAATTGCCAACAAATAAGGTAAAGGACAAACTATATATAGGTAATGTGGTAACCTTTTAGCTTATAAGTTATTTTTCAAAATAAATTATATAAAAACATTATCTAGAGTAAAAGTTGTCAACCCTAGATAAAACTATTTCGGACGACTCTAGTCGTTGGCTAGGTAATTGCATTGAATTCAATTTGCTCAGAATCTGTTCGAATGCTACTGCTGAAAATCTGGTTTAATTACACTTCACACTTATTCAATCTGCCTCATATTCCATATTATAACAAATAGAATTGTTGCAATCTAAATATGTAAATGGTCCATTTCGATTTTGATTACTGCCTTTTGATTAGTTAGGCCATTATCATAAAGTGGAAACAGTTACTACGTAACATAACGATGTTATATTGGCAACATTTTGAATCACTTATTCTAGAAAATTCATATTGAAATTTTAATGTACAACAGTTCTGTAATATATTTTATAATAGAGTCTCTAAAACGTAGGCAAGTGCTGAACGTAATGTTAGCCAAACAAAAAAAAATCGTATTATTATATACCCCTTGAACTACCAATAAGCTTTGAAAATTATAAAAATACCTGTATACGGTATTCCTTCAAATCCATTTATCAAAGATTTGACACCAAATCGGTGCAATTTTAAAAATACACTTGGCAATTCATTTTCTATTAAGGACCGACACTTACGAAAAAGGACATTAATGTAAATACAATACACTCCAGGTACACACATACACACATCAGACGCTGGGTACAAATAACAATTCTATAACAAAATCACTGGCCTGAAGATGACACCAATTAGGACCCGAAACTAGTTTCTAAGTGTAATTTTAGTGATTACCTTAAACAGATATTAAACCTTAAAAAAACTAAAAGGTAAATCTATTACATCAAAGTAGTTTAGTAACTTGATACTACGTCAACGAATTGTTTGTGTAATTGTCCTCTACTGCATACACTCATTACGTTGAGGTTAATGCTTATTTGATTACAAGTAGAGCCCTGTAATCAACGCCTTAACCATCTCCATTCAGACAAAGCTTGGTTGAGCTCAGGTGATTGGTGAAAACCTAATTACACCTGTACTTACCTGCTTTGTCCCCGTAAGCTCTTGTTTTACAAGTATTTGCATTTTCACACGTAGCATTCATGTTAGAAACTATTTCTAAAAAGTAAAAGACAGTTTTTATGTCATCTATGTATTTAGCAAAGTGTTGTATTGATAACGTATGATATGGTTTAAGTTTAAAACTTTTAGTTAGCTACAATATCATGATGGATCAGGCTTTGAGTTTCTGGATTAACAGAATATTGTTTCTACGAAATTATTTGTCCAATTATTTGTGTTTATTTACGTCATTATCTACAAACCTTGAGCTTGTAAAGCAAACCTTTTGTTTGATATCATAATTAACAGTCCAATGACATATATGATCAAACCAGCAACTTTTGATTCAAAGGAAAATCCACTTGACTACCCCAAAAACTCAGCTTGTTGGTCTTTGACAATTTAAATTTCATTGCGAAAGGCAACTAAATAGGAGTATC